CATGCTAAATTAGGACCCCACTATTGCGTTCTATATTCTCGGTAGTTTCAGCCGCCACAAAGGACTGGTTAGTTATTGCATCGTACATGGACATAGTCGGCCATGAGGCAGAACTTTTTGTAGTCAAACTATTTGCTAAATTGTTTGTTTCCCTGCTTGAATTCGGGACTGCGACGGTGGGTCACCTTAGACGCTGGACCTCGTCTTAATCTCCCATCTAGTGAACTCCTCTGTTCCCACAGGCTCTCTTGACCGCTGTTACTTTTTGTCCCCGTTCATCTTCTACTGTCCTTCTTATTCCCTTTTCACCGTTTTTTATGCCACTCGTCTACTGATTGGGAGGCGCCTGATGCTGCTACTACATTTGCAATGACCACCATCCGAAACGTCGGACTGCAACCTCCTATTTCAGTACGCTGTTTTATGTTTCACTTTTCCGTACAAGACGGCGATTTTCACTGGAAAGCTCACAAATGTCCCTACCAACGCGATACATCACTGCTTACCCCATTTTCTCCAACTCGGCAAGCCTTGACCATCTAAACTGGTCTGATAATGTTTGTATTCTTGGTACAGGAAGAGTCAAGTGTTCCCATCCGCTCATCCCGTCCGGCCTATGTTGCACACGATTTCTGTGCTATCATCCTCGACAAGGCGAAGGACATGTTCGTCAATCTCAAGACCAATCAACAACGCCTCATCATCATTCTCTGCTGTAATAACCGCGTACTCGTCGTACAGTGGTTGTAGCTGCTGACACCTCATCAACGACACCTGTCGGAACTCGATGCTCTTGAAGTCTTAAGAAGCCAGTCAGTGTAAAATTCTTCTCACTCTCCTGTCCCTCCAGTAGAGTCGAATCAGCTCCCTTGAGTATGGGGTAGAGTATTTCTCCTCTGGCTGGTCATGACACCAGTACACTGGCTGCCACGAATAGACTGCCGAGTGAGACATATCGAGGCAACGCAACACTTCACACTTCTCTTTTCATGAAGAGCTGACTTCTCTTCCGTTACGTGAGAATTTTGCACTGGTCAATTTGCAATCCCGACCCTGAACCGACTTCGACTCAGTACCACATGGCGAATGTACTGAGATGCAGATGTCTATGAAACCGGAAACCGAGTTTGTGTCTTCTCTGAAGACTGATGGAGACAGCTCAGTCAAGACAACATCCACAAATCTGCGGAAAGTTTAGCGAAGTGATTAAGAACGGTCTTGAAGCGAAATAGCCGGAAGCCCCTCATAACGTGCACCAGGTGGCATGGGCGGTCTATTTTTAGCTGGTTATTCTAATTTAATAAAAAGAATGAAGAGAATTTGTGACTGATAAGAAACTACCGAAACGTATTTGTCGAACTGTACGTCTTGTGTCCAGAGCGAACCCTCATGAAAAGTGCAGTTAATGTGCTGTATGAATATTGTTTGGCTACATAGGGTTTTTTATTGAACACGCAAAATGTCTTCATCAGATAAAAATGAAATGTGGTCTGAGTATTAGTGATTGGTCACTAGAGCTACCAATAGTTTGACCTATGGACAGTGGTGTACTTATCGCTATCTCATGCATTGCTACTGTTCATGCCAAGAAAGTCATGGGGATTCTTGTCCTCCTTCATCACGTGGATTTCAGCAAGATTTAGGTATCGATTTTCTCTTGTCACGGTAGATAACCGCTTTGTACAGTTGTTATCAGTTTGTTGTACACTTGCGATTATTTTCCTGTAAGTTTTGCCAACCCGAAGTAGACTATTCCAAACACAAAAAAGGTACTCATACGTAGTAAATGGGGGCAATTTACGTTGCTTCTATCGGTCTCTCTTTCTTACAAATGTTATCTAGAAACAATATATTGGCTTTGCTCGCTTTTAAACCAATGTAGGTTAATGGGAATTTAGTAATAGTTTATCCTTTGCCTACGCCTACGAAGCAAGAAGCAGGGTCTAGAGTATTTCATTTCTGACCGTCACTAATTTACCTTTCTGCCCTCTTTGCAAATTAGTGGAAACCGTGCGTCCACAGCCACTTCATCCACTTTAACTTAAAGTCCTGAATTCCCGCTTTTGTCATTCAATGTGTGAATAAAGCTGGTAAACTACAATGGAAACGATGCGACCGCTACATTACAGCCCTTCCTACTCTAACGATTCTAACGGTCCTAAAGCCAAAGCTGTTGGTGGGTGGTGTAACCTTGTTACCACGTGCCAAACTACAAGGGTGATGAGAGCCTCTGCCAACTTCTGTCTAACATCGGCGACCCTTGGGCATCGTATTATTAAAAGGGACGAGATGGCCCAAGTGATTAGAGCGCGAATTTACTGACCGGAAGGTCCGTGGTTCGAACCCGACCTCTGCCTCTCGAATTCCCCTGTCTAGGCTTGGGCAATCTGGAAGTACCCCAGCCCTCGTGCAACCTTCGGGTGACGCGGCAGTTAGGCACCTGAAGGGTGCTACAGCTGAACGTTTGCATGTAGACCTAACTTTTGCCCTTTGGTGACCCGATAAGTGGTAGCACAACGTCCATTTAAACTTACGGTAGTGGATGGGCTAACCCTACACCGACATCATTTTTGGAACCATATATTTTGGCAATCCACGGGCAACACCGGCAACAAATGGGTACGAGATAGACACCTGGGGTACAGACTATCGCCAGACTGAACCAGATATCATGTGGCGGGAACGACTGTGATACGGCGGTCAGGCAAGTTTTCTGACTACATACGACTTACTTTCCAAGGAGATCTAATTATACGCATGTGACACTTTCCCACCCCATCGGCTACTCGTTCGTTCACGTTTCCCATTTTCTGTTGATTATGATCTAAACATTATATAAACTCGACGGATAGTCCATCGCCGGTCTCCCGAAATGGTGCCGTGTGGGAGGGTACGCGCTCCCGGATTGAAACCTCTCATCTAATACTAGTTTTTTCCCCTCTGCAGTGATTGTCGAGCATTTGCTTGTAATGCCCCCACTGTTGTGTGAATTACCTTGATCCCACATCGGCACATTTTTATTTGCAGCAAGACAGGAACCTTTCAAATCTTCAGCTTGAATGTGTAACTCCGCTTCACGTCCACTTACAATTCCGTTACATTTGTGGGTGTGCATATTCCCCCCGCACTCACATTCCTTCATGTCGCAGACGAAACGAATGGTTTTGAAGAAAATGGGCCAAGAAGCTGTGGAGTTAGGTCACGTGGATCCAACTGTGTCAGTGGTTGAAGAGAACACCTTAGTTTCGGGTCTTTGCGACCTATTGGAGCGTATCTGGTCTCATGGGCTGATACACAAATCGGTGAGTAGAATAGCCCATCTACGTAGTTTAGTTCATTGTAGTCCGATAGCAATCTTGCTTGTATCTCATGCGTTTTCAATGTCCCGCTGTCTTCAGGGCAAATCTGCACTATGGTCTCATCTACTTCAGTATGTGCGTAAACAACAGCATGTCACTCAAAAACGGCCCGTAGGTCCCCAGCCAGGCACGACTTCAACTCCAGTTGGACCGAGCAGTTCCTCGTCTACTTCATCATCGTGTGGAAACTCTCCGACACCGTCGTTACACGTGCGTAGACCTTCGTTAGATGCCACACTGACCTTGACAGGGACTTCGAAACCGGATCCTGTCACGAAAAATGGTGCGTTTTTGGTCTTATTCGCTGATCTTCAAGGTGATTTCTACTGTCGATACGGGAGTGGTGTGACTTGTTAGCTACCATTTTTGGTTGTTTCTGAGATCACGGTTTGAAGACTAATGTTTAGCTACTCACCTACCTTCCTGCAGGGAACTAGACAGGATTCCCGAACATTCCGTGTGACGAAAAACCATAATTTGTTTCCCGAGGCCAGAGATGGAGTATCCTCTTCAATGCCCAAGCTTTTTCGAGCTGCTTTCCATAACGCAATAGGTAGGATACATTGGGAACATTTTCCTACCAGGTTGTGTCCAACACTTTGAACTTGATGTGCTTCAGTGAATGCAACTGAAGTGCACATGATGTTGAACATTATTCTTGTGCCTTCCTTTAGTATAGTCAAGAATGATAGTCGGACAGCTTGTCGATTGGACCAGACATTGGGCAGGTATGGTTTCATCAGGATTTTCATTATTTTGAGGGCTTGGCTAGAATGAGAACTGGGTTGGAGTAGGACAGGAGACTAGTCCTTTGACCTCTCTAGACTCCTTTTTATCTTATCGACAGTGTTTTGGATGATAGCCTTCTATTTAGACGGGCTGTGAAATAGGTGAGCCGGCATAATAGCGCATAAGCTGCAGAGAGTAGATGACAATACCACCATGGAGTCGCGAATTATCGATGGTAAACGGATCTTTTGGAAATGGCTGATAAGCTCGATGAGAACACGATGAATTTGTGAATTGTGTCCCCCATAAAACGGCTTAAATATCACTCCTGGGGTCCTTTTTGCTCACTGCTGGACGGTGCATGACAGTTAACAAGCAAAGTATCCCCACCATGCAGGTACTCTTGATGTGTACGACTATTTGCGGTGCCTCCCTCAACATAAGCCAACTGACATGTACGTCGGTCGCATCGGGTTTGGTAAACATTAGGATATTTTTGGACTGATAAAAGAGATTCGGATGCAACCAGGAAGTGATAACGCACAGTACTGTGAGCTTATGGAATTCAGTTTACGATTCTGTCGGAATGCAACCATTCCGTCAACTATTGAGGCTTCTGTCTTTAGTGGATATCCATCGAGGGTATCATATTTATCACGAGTTTGGAAGTAGGATAAAAATTCTGATATGTCTTACTTCCTCTTGATCCTTGCATTATGTTTTGACAAAACCTGTACAAGCACCCATGTTCACTATCACCTTCTCTGTTTTCAATTTCGATCTGACCTCAGGCGATGGATCTTCAAGCCAGCATTCGAAGCCGGACACATCTGAAGCGCCCGCTGTAGCCACCACACCTAGTAACCAGCCTCCACCTAAGAGCGACAGGTCGATCAGGGCCGTCTCACTTTCTCGCTTCCTATCATCGGATTCATCTTCGACTGGATTTCAGTGTTCGGCCGACCGTCCTGGGTCCAAGTCAGGTCCTTATCTGTTTGACTGGCGTTCATTGACTCCTGGCCGGAGTACCAGCACCGGTAGTAACGTAAAGTCGTCTCCATTTCGCCTCCCAGCTCATCCAGGCATATTGACGGCCTCAGGAACTTCGCTTGGTGGAGTCGGTTCTGTTGTGGACTTGTCTAGCATATTTGGTTCTCAGATAATGGATCATTCACTGGTCAAAGATGTGCTGGCTGTTCGAGGCCTACGTGGTGTGAAGACAGATATTGGTTTTGCCAGAGCGTTTGTGCGTTTGGCGTTGGAGAAGAAGCTGCTTTCCTCTCATCTGACAAGGCTGCTGATGGATGTGAAACTTTTAAGGCAAGCGAGCTTTGTTTTTACCCGCGATTGTATGGTTTACTTTCAATCCCACACAACTCACTACTTTATTACATTGCACACGAAAATCCACTCACATTTTGATCTGTTGGTGTTGCTTTTCTAGGCGTAGGTATTTATATATTCGGTGTTAGTTGGATGCTGTAGACCAGATTTTACACAAACAGCTCTGTTCTTATACTCGGACGATCGCAACGTGGCATTTCACTAGCTTGTACTGGGTACTCCCCTTCTACTGTCACCTCGAAAGGGCCTAGCGAGTTCGGTCGTATTGATGGCGTGGTTGTAGTAGGGAGACGGATGACTTGGCGCACTGTGTGAAGATTAGTTACGTGGGGTTCGTTCAATAGAGGGACACCAAACGTATGAGACGCTTGGCCTGTGTGTTCGGATATGCAGTAGTCTATCTCTGTGAGAGCCATGCTGTAGGAAGGACCACTTTTCGCTGGTCAATTTAGGCCTCAGTTCAGCTTCGCGACCCTGGAGAAACTGTTTTCCAACTCGAAATGTAGACCATTTTTAAGGCATATTTTGGTCGTAGGCTCGTAGGAGGCCGGAAGTTTATCCATTCTCATTGTCCTACACGCAAAAGTGCATCAGTGTCTTCCAGAAGATATCGCCTGCAATTCGTTTTTAGGGTGCTGCACGTTTGGTGGCTGGCTTCGGTTTTCCACCGCTACCTGGTGATCGATTGTCTGTCTGGGTTCAAGCTTCACTGATCCGGGCACCATTGTTTATTTCCATTGAGCCCAATTCGTTCACTAAAGCTCATACATATCTTCGTTTGATACAACGTATTATGGGTGAAAAGCATGTGAAACAGACTTGGTGCCCACAAACTGTTATCCCCTTTTTATATTCGAATTTTACTGGTTCGCTTGAAGGAAGGTAGTTTTGACTACATCTTTCAGGTAGTCTTTCTAGAGGGCGGTAGCTGCGTGTTTAATTAAAATTGTATATCGATCTCGTCTATTGGATCTGTGCAGTTAGTGTTCCAACCCTGTTCTCGGTCGTGAGTCTGAAAGCTTGTATGAAAAGCGACTCACTCCTTGTTTTGATGCTACAAAACCATATCAGACCATATATGTCCTGATGGCTTTCAGAAAAGTGCAGTCTCTTATTTTTTAGCGCAACATTACTTTTTATTGAGTTTTTCTGAAGTTCCTAGGTGGCTCAGTCCATCACAATGATCATGCTTTGTACAACGCAGGAAATTTGGTCATAGTGGTAGCGGGCCATTTTTCCGTGGTAAATATCATCATTGACAACAACACCAGATGAGAACATAGATCTGTCACTGCCTTAAAACCATGTCAATTTATTTGAACAGTTACGTGGTAATGGATATGAAAGTATGATTCAACGCGACCTGCTCTTCGGGTTTCTAGCTAATTCGTTGAACAGTCTTGCAGATTTGCAAGTAGTTAGGGGTTTGCGAATCTCCGCTCTGTATGAATATGAACTAGTGAAGGATACGGAATACTCCTTTGTCTAAGTAAGATATGCCCCATACTGCTAATCCAAAAAAGATGAAACAGCTCGTGGATTCTTGCATGCAGTGGTTGAGTTGAAGAACACAATTGCAGAAGTGCCATCTCTCACCATTGCTTGAAAGTACGTTCTCAGGCGCGATAGCTGTTCGTCCTCAGTAAGTTAGCTGATGAATAATTTGGTTGTCATGATGAAGTGGTGTGCTACACATACTGACTTATAGACTACTGGGCCGCACTTTACTTCCTCATGCAGCGCCTATAGCACTTGAGGCTGACTGAAGCAAGCGGAACTTTGGATCTTGGTGTCACGCGTCTTGGTCAACCTCAAAGATCGGCATAGCACTGAGCAACCGTCATCTCGTACCTACACTGGGAGCTGAATAAAATACCAGATGAGGGGGTGGGACAAAAGCTTCAGGCTGCCTCAACTACACTTGGAGTTTAAATGAACCGAAACTGGAACTGACGAGAACAGTACGACAGAATTGCTGGTATTATATATA